GACAGACAACGAGCAACACCGTCAGTACAGAATGTCTGGAATGGAACACTGTGCAAAATACGGCTTCATGCTTGTACTCCCACGCACGGAATTGAGTAACGGCCTCTGTGGCAGTAGGAGTTGGTGCGCTACTCTGCATTGGCGAGGTTGCCGGCCTAGCGCCAGGGTACATGACCCAACATCCCTTGTCCAAGCTTCTTTCTCTGTGCTCCGGAAAACTCCTGCCAGTTATCCGTCGTTGTAAGTCGCTGACGCAGTGAGTGCTTGCGCCGGAGAAATCTTGTCCTGGCGGAGTCAGCATCTCACACAACTGGTCACTGTAATGCCACTCCCAGCCCTGTGAAGTATCCCATTTGACGAAGGTCCTCCCCGATCTGCGCTGCAATAGCTCCAGTGACTCCACCAGTGACTGGCACAAGGGAGAAAGAGCATGGAATCAGGGTCTACCGACACTGTCATTGTTTCGTGCCTGCTGCTTTTGGCAACGCCTGGCTTACGCATACAAAGCAATGGAGCGTCGGTCTTCAGGCAAGTGTTTGGACAAGAAGCATGCGCCAGTTGATGTAAACACACTAAGCGAAGGCACAGATTCTCAGATGCTGCACCGGGCGGTACAGCAGTGTGTCGGTAGCACATGACACCACTCAATTAGCCAACACACTACGCGTCCCTCAATGCTTCAAAACTACACGTTGCTCCATTTCCCGCCTGCAAGTGGCGCTCATCCACATCCTTCTGGTCCATCTTGGCCTTTCGCGCCTCTGTAGGCCTCGGCAAAGCAACTTACATCAGAACAGCTGGAAACCTAGAACAAACATCCGCGGTCGGGTGCTGGGCTGGGTCATGGATTCAGCAGGCACCTGGCCATGGTCATCCCGTACGCATAAGCTGTAGGTCTCAAGCTCAGCAAGAGAATAAGCCGTCGACTTTGTTGCTCATTCGATCACACAGCTAGAGATGATTCTACGGCGTTCTGCTAAGTCTCGGCCACTTTTAAAGATGTATGAAGTAATGAGTTGAATCTGTATCCTGCCGCGGTGTCTAGGAGTGCAAGATTCTGGTCACCATCCACTCTCTCCCTTGCGTGCTACCACTGAAAAGCGCATGGAGCTGCTCTGGCCTCAAAATGATGACAGTTGGCGTGGGCTTGCGCCGCAGTCGCCAGAGGCACGGGTCGCTTTGAAGGCCTCAGCGTTAGTTGCGTGCTCTCTCTGCCTAAGTGGCGACTCAGGCTGCTCAAAGGCCGACTCGAAAGAATCACTGTGCTCAAGGCAGAACCACCGGACGTGAGGCTGTCAACAACGTGGGCAGCGGATTCAGCCCCTGCTCGCATCTGCTCGCACTGGCTCGACCAGAGGCGCGGCGACCCATAAACGCACCAGCTGAAAATCCAGCCTGGCCCGGTTTGAAGGCTGTCGTGCCTGGCCTGTGGCAGCATGCCACATTGCCGGTGCTTCTGCGATTCAGGCTTTGAACATCGTCACTTGCCTGGCTACGCCAGGATTGCAGATGTGCGGATACCTGGTGTGCACAAGAATTTTCGATGCCCAAACAGCTTGCTGGTTTCCATTGTATTTTCCATTATCCCTATATAAGCCCAAGAACCTACAGTGGCTTCCATTCTGTTTTCCATCATCTCCATCTGGGGTGTAATTTTTTCCGCCTGCCTCGATAATTTCTGAAAGAAATGAGACAGCCCGGGTTCGGGGCTCTAGCTTAAAGAGGCTACAAGCTCAATCTCTCAAAGAAGGTGCGGGTAGGAGCTTCCATAAATGGACCCCAATTCTACAACCCTTATAGGGGATCCTCTATCTTCCTCTTGCCCGCAAGCCCTCGACCCTCCAACTGAAGCAAAATGTCCAAGCGCATGTCCAGGCATTAAGAATTCCACAAAGTTTCTGCCCTAAATGTCTTACATCTGAATCTTGCCCAGAGACGATGGACTTATGATGGTGTAATGCCGAACCACCTGCCAGCCGCAGGAGATGGCGCGAGCTCAGATACTCCACTCAAACTCATAAAGCAGCAACAACCACAATGGAGGTTCATGATGGCAATCACAGGAAAGTGATCGCCACAATCGCCGCATGAACGAAAGTGTGTACAAATGAGAAGGGAAATTGGGGTTGGCATGGCTATGTTAGCAATAGACAACTATGCATGCGATACAAAGAGTGGGCATGTCAAGCTTTCAATGGATTAGAGGTGTGCCCGCACGCACAGTCACCAGGGGTCAGACAAAGGGCGGCTGTGCTCGAGAGTTTTCAAACCAGGGAAGGGTAGAACCTCCTGCCAAGATTTGACATGTATGCCTCCGCCTCAGCCTCACCGTCCATGGAACTTCCACCCCAAGCTAAAGACAATAGAAACAGCCCCGGGATGCTGATGGCACGATAACCACAGAAACCTGAGTTGCCGAAAAATACCTTCTTCTTTGACCTCGCGAGGCTACCCTGGCTCACCTTCACCTGCGCGACGATGCTGATGGGCCTGGTCCAGCAAACGGCCTGCGAACGCAAGCGTCTGCCATGCGGCTATAGACAGACAATGCGGTAGCCGTAAATAAGCCACTCTTGCTGCTAGAAGCTTCTGCATGCACTCAACGCTACATTGTTCACAGCTTCTGGACAGCTGCCTGCTTTGTCTTGATTTCTGTCAGCGGCGCCATCAGCTCTTCTAGGCTTGGCCTTGAGCTGCGGCTGCTTGCCACGAAGTGCAGTGAAGCTCATCTTCCTTGTGATTCCTAGCTGGGTAAAGATAGTGCTGCACGTGTTTGTGCTTGAGCGCAGAAAGCACTTATCAAGCGTCCAGCTGCAAGGCCGCTTTCACCGGGAGGCAGCTTAGTTTCAGCCACTCGTGTCGACATGAGCAAACACACAGCATGTGCGTCATTGTTGCTCTGCCACGGCCGCGTGCTGCATGGGCTGCCATGCGCTGAGGTTTCTCCAGGGACTCTGCGCAAGCACTTTGTCCTGCATGTCCTGCACTAAAATCACTGTACAAATTCCCACCGCAAGCAGCGGCGAGACATTGGGGCAGTGTTGGCGATGGTCATGACAAGTCGCGGGCAGTAGGCTCACCAAAGTCGTGCTAGTTGTAGTTGTCGTTGTTCATGCCGTTGCTGCATCAGCAGCAAAGTGAATGGTGTAGTGACATCAATTTTTTTGTCGCTATGCACGTGGAGTGCATAGCGACAACAGCACATCCCCTCCCCTTGCTTCTTCTGTACCCTTCCTTTCTGCACCCTCACAGCTCAACAGAAGCTTGCTGTCCCGTCTCTGAGTCACGAAGAAAGCTCGCGAGGTCATGGTGCCCGGCCTGCAAGGGAACGGAGTATGCTGGGAATGCTTGAAATCAGGGATCGCTCTCTTCTGGTCTACTCACAAAAAACGGACAAGGTACGGAAACTCTACTTCTGAGCGAAATCCTTGTTGTGATTGCTGTCGCTGGTGGTATTGCCGCAGCTGCTACAGCTACATTGACTGCATCATCAACACGATCTAAGGCGAAGTGCTTGTATAATTGCTCTATCTTCAGGCGTAGCAGAATTCTCCAACACCTAGCATGGCTAGTAGCAGCAGTAGAGGTCATTGGTAGCAATTACTCATCAATCTTGTCTGCATCCTCCTGCTGCTGCAGCTGCCGCTACTTCACGATAACCTCTAGATCCCACCCTGCCACACGCAAACCCGCGGCCTTCGCTGCCCGATCCTTTGGCATTTCCTTATTCCGCGCTGCGGCTCCGGGCTGCGCACGGGATTGCAACCTGAGCTTACATGTCACATCATCCATCGGCTCATTTAAAGTTGCGTTTCATGGGTTGAAGAACATGCGTCGGGAATAGTAGCCTTTTTTCACCTGTGTTTCTTACTAGAAGTACTGTAAGTTCGGACTTGGGCCCTCCGATGTTGACTCCGGGGAATTGCTTGAAAACACCTACACTGGCCGCCCATCAGAAAATCTGAGCTCTAAACCACTACACCCTAAACTACAAATCCTACGCCCAATCCCTACACACTGAACTCTAAACTCTAAATCACTAAATCTGAAACCCTGAATCCAGACCATGATCTGGTGCAATGAGATCCTTGAGCCACGTCACAGAAGTTGCACTGTCTCCTGATGCCCCTTCGAAGCAGCTACGTGCAACGGGCTGCTTCCATCCGCTGCCTTAGCAAGGTGTACAAACCCTCTCATAGGGAGATCTACTGACGCACGTTTTTCCCATGATGCTGGAGTGTTGACCTTGCAGCAATAGCCATGGCATCCTTCCATAGCCCAGAATATCGTGCAGTTGCCAGCCGTACCATGCTAGTACTACTCGGACGTCATGACTCAGGACGTCGAACATAATTTCCAGATCCGCCTCCGACCAATTACTGTAACCACTGTTGAGGGCCTTCCTGGCTGGATTCTGTACCCGCCCGAGCCACGCAACTGTGAAAAAGCTAGCCGAACAACTACCGACAGCAGAACTACCGCTTGTAACATGAGAGCTTGAGCAACAGTAGTCACAGCCTGGTGGCGGAAGCGCTCGGCGAAGCGCGTGCAGACAGCAGGGCCTCCAGAAGCGGCAGATGCCCGTCCAGCGATGCAAAATGGATTGGGCGAAGGTCGCCACGTGCGGGCGCATCCACTTTTACCCCAGCTTGAAGTAGCCAGCGTAGCATGGCCACATGACCACCCGTTGCAGCCAAGTGGAGTGGCTGGACTCGAGCCGACGATGCGCCCGCGCTGGGCGACAATCCCAACTCCCGCAGGCGCTGAGCAATGCTTGTATGACCAGCCGTAGCAGCGACATGCATCAGAGTCATCTCGCTCATCTGTAGCTGCGGGGTGTTCCCAGAGCCTCGGCACCGCATCTACCCTTGCCTACTATGGCCGTCCGCCTAGCCTCATCTCAATGCTTACGCAGAAAGCTAAGACCTGCTTGATCAAGCTGAGGACCCACCAGGGCTGCCGCCAAGTAGTTTGCCATTGCCTCACCTCGCTGGCCGCCTTCGACCACAGGCACTTCTGGAGCATCTTCGATCCTGGCTCCGGCCTGCAGAAGCAGGTCCAGGGCCTGCACGTGCCCACCGTGTGCTGCCCAATACAACAGGGAGTGTCCTTTGTCGTCCTTGGCTTTCAGATCAGCCCTTGCGGACAGCAGCTCAGACAAGATAGGCAAAAGGCCCCCACGCGCTGCTTCATGTGCAGGCTGATACCTTCTTGCATCTGCAGCCTTGACCGCGTCGTGAGGCACCGACGGCTCCTGCAGGATAAACTGGACTGCCTCAGCATGGCCGTTTTGCACCGCGGTGTGCAATGGCGTGCTGCCGTCGTGCTGCTTGGACTGCAGGTCCGCCCGAAGCTGCAGTAGGCGGCCGAGGAGATCTACGTTCCCATGTCCAGCAGCAATGTGGGCAGGCATGCTTCCGGTACCGCCCGCCTGTGTAGCGGAAGACGGGACGGCCTCCAGCAGTCGGGTGGCCGCCTCCGCATTGTTTGAGTCCAGGGCCAGATGCAGTGCGAGGGAGCCGTTGCCAGACAAGAGCATTGGGTCGGCCCCCTGCTCCAATAGAAGATCAACCATGGCAAGGTGCCCAGCCTCTGCGGCATGATGTAAGGCTGCGAAGCCCAGGGCATCCTTGGCATTTACGTCAGCCCGCGCTTGAAGAGGAGGAACACCAGACAGGTTCCCAGCAGCAGCCTGAGCCTGAAGATCCGAAGACAAGGTTCGCGTCAACAAATTGAACGCAAAAGAAATCCGTGCAGCTGGCGCACCGGTACCATGTAGTCCACCACTGTCATCGCATGCTGCCACGCTGTGCAGGGAGGAGGCTGGAAACAGAACCAACATGCCAGGCTTCGGATCCACACTGCAGCCGTCACTCGCGCATGGATAGGTCGGCGAGCAGTCACACCCAGGAAACTGCAACTGGGCTTTGCACACAGCATCTTCTGGACCCAGGCTTGGATAGTAAACTCCAGAAATCCGGGGCACTGCCTCACCAGTTGCACCATCTTCTGCATGTTGGTGTGCTACGTTCCAATCGCCAGGGCCGTTCACATTGGCCCAGAGTGCCGCAACGTGTGCTCTGGTTCTGTCAGCCCGTCCAGTCTGGAGAACCTTTTTGCTGGTAAGGAGTCTAAATTGAATCACGTACCACTATGAGGAAGCCCTAAGTTCCTTAACTCCTTATGCAATCGCTATAAAATCGAAGATTCCCTCTCCATGCTCATCAAATTTTTTCCGTTTTACATTTACCCCCCTAAATCCCACTAAACCCCTACGCAACCCTATGTGTACTAGTGTCCATTTCCTTTGCCACTTGATTCTCCATTATAGCAAGCTAGGAACTGCAGCCGCAGCCTGAAGGATGCGACCCTGCAAACCTCGAAGGCAATCGGCATCCTCCCGCTTACTGGGGTTAGCAGGGAATAAGGGAATGTAGTATACCAACTTTTAGTCAGGGTTTAGGATACAGGGCTTAGGGTTTGGGGTTAGTAGGGAATAAGGGACTAATTATAAGGGTCATACAGAGACTGATGCAAAGGAAAATGGGAAGTGCCCTACTAAAATAGGACATATATATATATATATACACACATTTTCATTGGGTCATAGCAGGGGTTTATGTACGGATCATATGTTCCTTTATTCCCGAATCACCACCAGTAAGTCTACAAGGGCTGAGGCGTGAGCCCTTGGGACGGAACCCACACAGATGGGTTGCTGTTGAGGCACTTAAGTTGGGCCATTCTAATAAGGAAGCCCTATTATTTACTGTATGCCCATGTTACCGTATGGTAACTTACTTTAAATTCCTTATTAGCAACCCGGACTATTCATATAGCCTTTACAAGGGGATTCAAGGCAAACCCATGTCAGGGCTTTATCGAAGCTCATGTACACCGCTGCCTAAGTACCCATGTCAAGGCTTCAGAACAGCTTGTGTGGGTTTAGGGCTTAGTAATCCCTTAAGTCCTGCGCATGCAGATACTTGCTGTGCCATCCTCCGCGATTACTGCGGGATAAGCCTGGGTCTGGGCCCCCAAAACGCCTAATCCATGTGGGGGTAGGGGTACTTGTCTGGGGGTCCCTATCATAAGGACTATAGCACTTTGGGGGTCTATACTGGGGTCCCCCTATTTCAGAAATCTCCAATGTAGAAGACCCTCACCTATAATGTCCCATACTTCTTAAACCCTACACCCTAAACCCTAGACACCAAATCCCAGACCCTAAGCCCTAAACCCCTAAACCCCCAAACCCCCAAACCCCTAAACCCTCAAACCCCCAAACCCCTCAACCCCTAAACCCCCTAAAGTCCCTAAACCCCGTAAGAAGCCTGGATCTGAAGCCCGCAGCTGCAAGGCGAAACTCCGAAGCTGAGTGTCCAGGGCTGACTCTGGAAAGCTCAGCTGAAGTATCCTAGATTTTAGGGTTTAGTATCCTAATGGGGGTTTAGGGGCTTTAGGGGGTTTATAGGGGCTTTGGGGAGTTTAGGGTTTACGGAGCTTAGGGGTTATTGTTTAGGGGTTTGGGGGGTTTAGGGTTTAAGGGTCGGAGAAGGGTTCTATCGGGGTCATATGCTGTTATACATGGGGTTTATGGGGGGGCATACCAGAGTATGTAAGATCCTAAACTGGGTTTGTGGGTGTAGATTGAGATGGGGATTCGCAGAAAAGGGACTTGAGGAGCAGGGCTCTCCAGTTTCAGGGATGTGGAATAGGCGGCTTTGAGAATTTGCGGGGCTCACCTAGGTTCTGGATCAAAATCAAAGTCATGATGGAAGTGCATCACATCACCTGATAACTCACTCCTGTCTGGGAATCGACAACGTGTTCAGCTTCTTTCTTGAATGATGGCCGAGTATCGAGGGGGATAACCAAGTGGAGTTGGCCATGGCTGGTCGCGAGGCTAACTGGTCAACAAGTGGATGGCCAATTGTTTTTACGTCTTAGCAAGACTCAACCACACGTGGCAAACGCGTTTCATCAAAACTTGGCGCGGCCAGGTGTGCAACTCTCCAGCAAAGCCAGTCTCAAGCACCCCCTGTACACCCCAGCGGGACGTCCTGTCAAACTCAACAACAGCCATTTCATGCGAAGCTCAGTCACAACAAAAATGCCGAACGAATTGCCGTTGGATGTCCAAGCACAACCCAGTGCCAGCTGCCTTGCCTCCCCTGTCTGCAACGCACACCTTTTTGTCGTAAATCGAGGGACGCAGCGAGTTTTCTCGCTGCTCTACAGCATTGCCACCCATGGCTGAGGTAGGTAGTGATAGATAAAAATGAGTCTGTGAGGCCTGATAGTGATGAAGCAGCTTCCTACCTTGCCCAGAGCATGTCACTACTCCGTTGGGCATCAGAGTTCGTTGCATTGACTCAAGATTGAGTGTGGATTTCCACCAGACACAAGAGTCGGAGGCTGTCACCTGCCTAGCTGTTAATTTTCATCACCCTCGTCTGCCTACAACCTCACAGTGCTCAGCAATGGGACAAATTCTTCCGACACTCTCCAACCGCATCGAATGACTCGGCATGAAACAACGCAGCGCACATTGTGCATGAATTTGGCATCACAGGACTGCCTAGGCTGGTCACTTCTGAGCGCGGACAATCTCGTCCAGCTTTCCTTGGGCATGCAGGGCGCATCACAACCCTCCTCAATGCCTACTTTTTGAAGTCTCCTTTGCGATCGCCTCTGAAAAGACAAGCCGAGGGTCTCATCACAGTCTGAACTTGCGCTTTGATTTCGTCCGTTTTGCCTTCGCTCTTTCTGCGTTCCCGTCGGAGATTCAAGACATGCGAGGCTTAAGGGTGCATGCACCATGGCTGATGGCTGAATGATCATGACTGCCTTCCTGGCCACCATATACTAGCAGCAAAGGACTGAGCGGAAACACTGTGAGCATTCTTGATGCTTCTGAGGAAGAAAGGTTGGCAACCGCTGGGCCAGGGTGCGGATGGTGTTCGAATCCATCACGGCGCCAGCTCTTTCGCACCACGATTCACAAATCTCTCTGTGCTGTGCCTCAAGCACGGTAAGCATCCTCAAACCTTTGTTGACATGCACAGCCCGTGTCGTTTCGCTTCTGCTACTTAAGTCTCTTAGTCGTTGTCCAGACCAAAGATAAGATATGGCCAGACTAATCCGCGGAGCATTCATTGATCTCATGCTGCTTTCCCACATCTGCCTGGCAAAGTACAGCTGTCTGACGCCAGCCTATCCACAACTTCTCATGTCATGGGGCCTTCAGCCGATTCAGCTGAACATCCTGGGTTTCAAGCTTCGACTGAAGCTCCTGGGTTCAACTGCATTTGCAACCGCACAAATTCAAAGCCATGGATGCAGGGAAGGCGTGCAACAACGTATCCCACTCCGTCTCATGCAAACAGGCACCGTCCTGAACTTCCGCACCGGAACGCCTCGAGAGCATGGATTGTCAGTTGCACAACAGCACTCAGCATTGCAGCATCACAGTTTTTCCCACACACGCCTCAACTTAAACACTCCTCGTTACAAAGTCGTAATGAAAAAAAGGTGAGCATCATGCACTACGGAGTTGAGGTGCTTTTTGTAAGGGGAGGGGGAGTAGTCATAGTCAGAACTTTCCCAAGGCCCAGGCTGGCTACCGTCTGCAAGAGCGGCCTGCAAGTTCACACCCGCATGCATTTGAACTTGACGATCGCACTTCTTTCTGTAACGACAGCTAGGGGTGGGGTTTCCCATGGGTTGGAGTTCATATCAGGGGTAGAGGTAAACCTCATCTATAACCTCATCTATACATATACACATATATACATACATTATATATATATATATAGATAGGATACTTGGTAAGTCTCCTCCTGTATCTTAGCTGGGGTTAGATGACGGGATTTAAGGTTTTTGCACTTCAGAGGGGCCCCTCAAATCTCCTGGCGGTCCCCACATGTCCCCTGTAGGCGAAACTCCCACATGCAGACCTGCAATACCATGCCCGGGAACATCTCAACCAGCAACAGATTATTTCACGTTTTGCATGGCCAAGGCAAACTGTGATGACAGCTTATGGCTTGTTCGTACTTGCTATTCGCTGTAACTCAAAATAGGATATGAGTGCGTATTTCTTCGTTGGTAAGCCTTCTTCGAACAGCTGCAAATTCCGATTCTAACCCACCACTCCTTTCCCTCTACTGATTAAATAAGTACTTCATGAACGGATGTACCAATTAGGACCTTTAAGGAGGGAGAATCAGAATGAGGTGTTTTGTTCAGGGGGAGGGGTTCAACCTTTCCCACTGGGGTGCTGACCTTGGATGACTTCCCATCTTCAAGGTCTTGCGCCGCGCCAAGCTGAAGTGCTTCAAGTCGATTCTTCCTTTGACGCTGGTGTTTTCCAAAATTAGGAGGCAACTTATGACCTAGATCAGTGGGGCGACTAGGGATTCTGTAGCAATTCAGTTTCCATAGTACGAGGAACCCAATTTGGGTTAATAACATGTGCGATGCTAATGTCATGCCGGCTGCAGTTCTCAATAAGAACTACCAGGAACCTCATGAAGGTGCGCCCCTCATCTTCGTGGACATCCTCACTATACTTATAGAATCTGGCCAGATGATGTCCGCTGTCACAGCAGCGTCAACGGAGCTGAAAGCAGCAAGATCTCCACAGCCTGCAGATAGATGCAGTCGTGGCTCAGCATACCATTCAGTTTGGCCGCCGCAGCGTGCTCCTGGCTTGGCATGTGCTCTGGCCATCTCGTATGGTGACCCAAGATGCAGTCAGAAATGCGAGGATGCTTGCGTCGAATAGCACAAATTGGGCTTCTCATGGGATGCAAAAAAAATCATGCCTCCCGCAGTGACCGCAGCTCATTCTGCGAGTCTCTGTACTTGTCCTTGAAGAACTCACCTGGCTGGTCTGAATCCCTGGTAGGAGGTGTTCAAGATCAAAGGAATCGTGTAATAGGCTGTGTTCTCATCATGGCGAACTCCTGATCTTATCAGACTACAGGCCAAACCGCCCCAGAGCCCCTGAGCTGGGCTGCTGTTAAGTCAATTTAAGTTGCGCTAATAGTGGAACCATATTACTTACGAAACATGAGCCCATTATGCTAACTTCATATAAGTCCTTTATCGGCAGTCCAGTGAGGGTGAGGAGCAAGACAGCCCCGGGCCTGAGGACTGAAGTTCGTTGAGCGTGTGTTGAGCTTCATCGCGCTCTTGCTTCGCATTTCGCAGCTCCTGGAGGTTGTCCCAAGATAGGTTTAGTCAAAAGTTATGAATGTGGAGGGTCCCCAGAATATTGACGATAAAAACATTGGGGTCTATGGGAAGGTATTCTCCGATATCCCTAAGCCGTGATAATCCCTTTGCACACCCATATCTACCTCCAAAGAAACTATCTAAAAGCCCTTGTTCTATATGGTAGTTTCCCTAATAAGGGGGACCTCAATATAGACCCCCAAAATACTATAGTCCTAATTATTGGGATCCCCAAAAAGGTACCCCTAATTTTGGGAAACCCCATATAATTCAAGCATTGAGCAACCACAGCGCCTGCATCTTGGCCTCGAGTTGTCTTTGTAGTTCCTACAGGGACAGGTGAGCTCTAGCATGCTTCTTGGTAAGTATGGGGAAGAAGGAATGGAAACGAAAATGAAGACTATTGTTGGGGATTTTATAGGGACTACCATAGGGATCCGCTCCGAAGCAACTTAGGTCACATAGGATTTGTGCTGGGCTTCTCTGCGGGTTATATAGGGAGTATATGAGGCTATACAGGGACTGTGGGCTCCGGCATCCTAGTTTCCATGTCATTTTCCATCTTCTTTGCCATTCGCTTCTCCAATGGCCATAAATTCACAATCCCTATGTAACCCATATATACAGGGTTGGGGCGCGGTGCTGCCGGCCACGCCTGAAAAAAAAAGTACAGCATAGTCTTTTTCATGATCTCTTGACAAAAAAACCCTAAACCTGTAGTCCCCCTTAAGTAGATAGACTATGGGGTATATGGGGATCTTATTATAATATGCCCAAAAGCCTTATTCTACCTACTTAAAGGGGACTATGAACCCTAAACCCCAAAGACCCCGAATAGGGCACCTTGATTTGTCTCATCGCTTCTGCAGAGCCATCAGGCCGTCCCGAGACGGCTTGTGTCATATGCGACATGACCTCCAACAAATCCTATATGTTCCTTTTTAGGCCGTATATATCCCTATATAATTAATACCATCCTTGTATATCCTTATATACACTTTATGGCACCTACAGGAATGCATTTTGTCGGGGTTGGGATATGTGAGGGAGGGCATCCTGTGGCAATACAAGGACAAATTACAATGGACTTGGCGAGGTCTTCAGCTTTACATGTCGCGTCAAAGTTACTATTACTATAACTGTTACTATTACTGTTACTTTTACTATTACGTTTACCATCTACTATTACTATGCACTACTATTTACTATAACTTCATGCAGTAAGGCCGCCTGGGTCATGTCTTCATTGAGCTTCTTCGCTTCCGCGTATTTCTGATCAAAGGGCTACAGCATCTCTTCGCCGACAGCCAAGGGAGTTCCCAACATGATGGGTTTGGGATTTAGGTTTTAGGATTCCTTGAAGCCCTACGGTGAGCATACACGACTAACAGGGTACCAAGAGAAAAAGCATCGTCAATGACAAACTGCCTTCTCGAAATGCGCTGCTTTGAGCTTCCATTTTTCCTCAGCTGCAGCTTTGAGACAGACCGCGATCTGTAAGCGAAGAGGCAAAGAGTGATCGCTTAGGTTACCTAGTACCGGACTGCACAGTAGCCATGTGCAGGCGAAGACGCAAGGTCTTGTGATTCTTGAGCTTTCCTGAGCTCGCCCGTTCTCTGCCGTCAACGAAAAAGAAGTTGCATTGAGATCCAAAAACCAACCAAAACAAGCAAGGGCAGCAGGCGTGTGATGGGTCTGTCGTGCAAAGCGATGAAAAAAGGCAGCCAGAGGACTGTTACAAGTGCTGTTACTGCTACTCTTGCTATTACTATTCATATTTCTAGAAACTACTACTATGACTAAAGAGGCAGCCGGAGTACAGGACCTCATCGACAATGCTCCGCATCTTTCCGCGCTCGGCATTTGCCTCGGTGAGCTCCACCTGCCAACAAGCAGAAACATCGCCACAAGTCAATCCCCAGCCAACCAACTCGCAAGCAATCGGCAAAGCACAGGTTTCTGGAGCTTCAGAATGCTTCAAAAACCGTTGGGGCTTTGGACTTCTGGAAACTCTTACATGCAGAGTTGTCTACCAGCGTGCGTTTGCCAGAACCTTGTCCTGATGATGATCAAAACAAGGATCCAACTATTCGGGGCTGAACGACAAGGGTACTTTCATCAGAGGTCTTCATGGCAGTTTGCATAAGCCCCAAAATACCATAATCTTGATGATGGGGATCCCCGAAAAGGGGCCCCTAATTTTGGAAACCCTCATTTCTAAGTATCCCTCATAATAACATCTCTACAAAATCCCTACGTCCCTCCCTATATCCCCTTGAAGAGGATCCCTAATCTTCGGAAACCCCCACATCCTGAAGGTGCCACGGTGGAGGCCTTGAGCCTCTCGCACTCAGCATGCAAGCGCCTCTGCGAAGACCTCAGAAGATTCGGGTATTATGGTTCCATATTCGTTGTATAATGATAGTATATGGCTGAGTGTAATATAGGGACCTAAATAGTGACCAAAATTGTTAGGGTTTAGGGCTTAGGGATAATTACCAATATTATGGTTCCATATTCCTTGTATAATGATAGTATATGGCACCTCAAATGGACGCTCCTATTAACTCTGTATTCAGGGGCTATTACTGTAGGGGGGGGTGGACCTACGAGATGGGTTCTCAGAAGATTAATCCCCTCCCCCTAGTTTCTAACGCCGCCCTAATATTAGATATTCCCGTTGCAGTATCCTATAATATAGCGGAGTATTTAATGTCAGGTGGGGTGGGGGGTTTAATATTAGGGGAGCGGACTACACATCTTTGCACCGTAAGCCCTCATAATCTCCGTTTTCCTATAGGTCTTTGGAGTACCCCTGTCTCAAGAACTAAGCCACCGCCTTTCAGAAAAGAGTGGGGATCGGTGATAAACCTGGGGGCCCCCACAGTTGGGATCCCTTGTAGCGGGAAACATGGCATTCTAGAGTCTATAGATGACCCCACTCCTTTGAAAGCATCCCAATCTTGGCACAAGGGGTGCGGCTCACTCTGTGATCGGCCCATGTCCATCTCTTGCCGCAAGACCTTCCCCATACTTGGAGGATCATGGATAGTTTTGAGTCGGGTGAGATCCGTTCCGCTTTCATGTTCGACACGACTTCTAGCTACGCGGTACCCAAAACCTCCAAGCTGGCTTGAGGGGACCCATGCCTTTAATACTTTGAGGGGCAGCCGTGGGAGGATACGGATCTGGTTATGGATGATAAGAGTCCGTCTTGACAAAAAAAGGGGTATCCCTTTGAGGGGTTCGTATTGGTCATTCTGAAAACCATCTCAGCCGGAAGATGCAGAGGCAAAAAATCCACTCATATTGGGAGCATTAAAGACGACGCCGAAGTTTATGTCAGGTTTCTTATAGGCAAAACTCTTTTTCTTAATGTGAAAGGACTAGATTCCCATAAGAGCCGTTGTCCTCCGTTTTGGGTGCTTGATGGCTGCTTAGATTGAAGAACACCTAGTTGAGGGCTGGCCATGCGCTTGTCCCACAGAAGCTGTGAGGTACCTCAACCTGATCCTTGTACTCCTTCAGCTGATCATCCACAGTACCTTGGCTGGCTGATTCCGGTGCTCATCAACACTGGAGTCCTTGCACATATCCTGGACACTTTTCTGATTGTTATTGGGCGCGCTCCAGGAAGGGACCCATGCCTTTGAGAAACTTAGAGTACGGACGACATTGGACGACGCGCATAGTCCGGGGTTCTCGGCATGTTGGCTCCGGAACATTCTCCGGATGCGTTTATTACGGTTCATGAACCCCTGTCCTAGCGGACTGCTCTGCAATCTGGCCACGCTCCCGAAGCGCACACTCGGCTGCGGTAGCCTCAGGGACACAGTTTGAATGATGGCATACGAAACCACATCAGCACAACGGCAGCCCTATCAGTCGAGCAAAGCAGTCCCAAACAAGGGAGCCATAGATTTGAATTAGAAGGATAAGCATCTGTATCCTGCGTGTTCTTCCTCACTCCCAAAACTGCTTTGACAAAAAAATCCTCCTGCAGAGGAAACTCAAATGGGACTTTCCCAAAATTAGGAATACCTTTTTGAGGTCTATAGTGGGGTTCCCCATTTATGGTAACTACCAAATAGTTGACCAAGCCTATGGGCCTTTAAAAGACTGGGTATTGAGATTCCCTAGGTCATTTGCGTTCTTCTATGCCGCTTTACCGATTCTTTCGGATGGCTTGCGCGTGGGTATTACGATGCAAGAGAGGCCCGTGCACCAAAAAGGAGCCTCCTTGACATAAGGAAGCCCCAAACATAGACCCGAAAGTGAAACTCACCCCTTATACTCATCATTGCTTCTAGAGAAGTCCACATGTAATCCCCCATCTGCTGGTTGCCCCTATAAACGCCAGATCCTGCGTTGCTGGTACTGATAAGGAACTTAGATCAAGTTGCTATTGCAAGGAACCCCCTTTTCAATTTATTTGGGTTGATGTTTTGGTAAATTATTTTGGACTCCTGGACTGCAAGACTGAATCCTGTGAGCCCCGTGCCTGGAACTGCTTAAGCTGCTGCTGCAGCAAGCGGCTGTCGTCCTGGTGGAAGGTGTAGCTACTAATATTCATGGAGCCGTGGCAAACACCCTTTGAACCTTTGGTTAAAGCAGTGTTGCGGTATCGCCTGCGCATGTCGCAGACTGACGCGCCCCAACAGGTGCAAGCTGTTGCAGGCGTAAAAGTTGGCGCTGCCAATCTTTACTTCAACCCTCAAATAAATTTCCACATGAGGGGCTATCGCCGCTGCTCATGTTATGAACACTGGAGCAGCTTTGGTATCACTGTTAGCTACTACTACTACTACTACTTCTTCTTCTTCTACTTCGACTTCTAATGCTACTACTAAACTACGACGACGAAGATGACGACGACTGCTACTGCTACTGCTGCTACTGCCTACTACTACCACCACCACCACNNCGCCGCCGCCGCCGCCGCCAACACCAGCCCCAGCACAGATTCCCGGTACTAGCTGGCCCGCTTGATGAGGAGTCTTGGTACTCCATCATGGTTTGGGGCGGGGCAAGGTCGGGGAACTTAGCAATCCAAGGCTAACTGGACTGCAATTTGGAGTCCAAGCCTTCACTCCATCCAGAAGTTTTGAAACATGAGCTCTTGCTGCACGTTTACGTACTCCAACAGAATGGCCAACCTAAATTCGGAAGTTCCTAAACATATTCTGAGTTCATAAGAATTGTCAGGGCTCAAATCACAGTCTATGTGCAAATCTGCCAAGGTAGCCTCAACCCCTAAACGCTGTCATCCTGCATCTGACTGCAGCGCTGCTGCGCAACTCGTACCTCCTCTTGGGCCTGGCAGAGTATGACCCCGTTAAGGTTTGGAGGGGGTGTAGAGACACCAAAGTTTATATGGGGTTTCGAAGCTACAGTGCGCCTAGAGGAGATTAGGTAGAGAAGTCTGATCAAACGATCATTATGAAACGCGCAATCGTCATTTGCAGTGGATTCAAGCTTCAGTCATTAAGTGGCAAAAAACCTCCGAGCAGGGTTGAGGACTTTTGGACAGGGGCCCTATGCTCCTGCATGATGTTCAGGGTTTTGAGAGCTGGGCTTAGTTTGGCGTGTGGAGCAAGTCTTTAGGATTTCAGGGGACGCTTACTTGATGACTATACATGGCAAAGCTCCTACCCCAGCCCAGGTTGTCACCATAATGTTCTGGCAGGTTCCGAAGAATCTGTGACTGGAACCAAAACACTAGGTACTGTGTTGAGTCTTCTTGACACTCCCGCGAAGGGGATATAAGGCTGTGCCGACACAAAATTCCATGAAATGGCTCCTTTTACTGCACCCAACGCAATACACGAAACCCTAAACCCTAAACCCTATCCGATGAACTGAACCCTAGAGACCCTGCAACAGGAGCAAGCCAAAGCGCAGGGGCCTCAACAAAGCAACTCCTTGCGCTGCAAAGCCGCTCTGCGGGCTGAATTCTGTCTGAGATATCTGGAACTCTAAGAGTACACGATGACTTACTACATCTTGGGAAAACCTGATAGCTATCAAAATGGACGCTTTTCCTAAAATCTCATGCACGGCCCTTTTTAAATCTTGATAAGCCCAGATTTTCTATACACATTATCCCGATATTACCCCCCATATACTATAGTAGTTTCCATTTTCCATTATCCCAATATATACTCTAAACCATAAGCCCTAAACCCTATATACCCCCATTATAGTAGCTTGCATTCTTTTCTCCATTATCCCAACATTACTCTAAACCCTAGACCCTAAATAACCCCATTAAAATAGCTTCCATTTTCTTTGACATTATCCCAATACTACCCCTTTTGCAACAGGCTTTCTGAGTCCGCCCGGCCCTAAACCCTAAACCCTTAATAGCCCCATTATAGTAGCTTCCATTTTCCTTTTCATTATCAATATATCCCCAATATATCCCCCATAACCCCTATAAAAACCCTATAATCCCTGTAGCTTCCATTTTCTTTTGCATTATCCCTAATATATCCCCTATAACCCCCCATATACTTTTCCATTCTCCCAAATCTTAGAGGTGGCCAGGGGCCTGGAGTGCTTGCTCCTCTGCGAGTGTGAGTCGCCTTCGGAGATTTGGGAGCTCTGCCTCCGCAGCCAGCAGTTGATCCTCCAGCAGCTCTACCCATTGGGATAATGGCAAAAAATGGAAACTACAGGGAATATAGAGGCTATATAATGTGTTTTCAAGGGACTATAATATTGGGATAATGGAAAATAAAACGGAAACTACTGTAGCATGTTGGGAGGAATAATGTTAGGGTTATAATGGGGTTATATCGGGGACTAGGAGCGAAGTGTATGAATAGTAGGAAGGCATGGCTTTGTTTTGCAGTGCTCTGAACTAAATGCTTGTGAGAAACTTTGTTGTCAGGCTGTCCTTCCCCTGTGCCTCAAAACCTTTGGCTAGGGGTTTCCTGCCTGATTAGGCTTTTTTCGAAGGGTTCAGGCAAGGATTGCTGGAAGGGATCCTTTGAGCATGGAGGCGCTGTGAAGCAAAAGGATGTAGATTGAAGATATCTAGGGGGGAGCTCAGGTATGGGAAGGCTTAATCAAGCCGTTTCGGAAAGGCTGCCATTACCTGACGAGATTTTGCTATGGCGCCAGCAAGGACAGGACCGTCCCCACACCTCCCGCTTTAAACCGTGAACCCTAGACCCTAAATAGTGTTGCGATATTTTTCCATCATCCCTATATAACCCGTAAAAAAGAATGCCGCGCACCAGGCTGGAACCCTGAACCCATGTCCGCGCACGCTTACCATCGTGCCTCATCTTCTCATTGCTACTACGTGTAGAGCTATGTCCAAACACAAATTCCTTGTTTCTGCTTCTTCGGAAAGACTCAGATGTGAATCTACACGGCTTAGAGGAGAGATGTAGTCACCAGGGGTAGCAGTGACACTGACCAAAGTGAAAGCTTTAGATCCTAATTCTACATTTGCCACACCTGTAGCTCGCTGGACTTGGCTGCGTGACGCTTGGCTGCCGACAACTCCTTTTCAGGCACGGGCTGGCTAGAAATACAGATTTTGTGGGGGGGCAGTTAATGATCGTTGCGCTATTTGCGAGATGCAAAGGGGGGGTATCAGAAGTCATTAAGATTCGGAAAAAGGATTCTGAGAGATAGTTTCTCAAAACTTGTCCTGGCCGCAGTCCAGACAAGGCATCTGGTTTGGGAAATCTCGCATGCTGCGAGACGTCAGTGATTTGCATCCATGTTGGAGGTCATGAGGGAGTGGCTGCACTAAATCCTCAAAACTTAATAGTCATGAGTTGTTCAACGTGACCCTCATTCTGGTAACCTCGTGGAACAGACGCCCTTCTGAGACCCGTGATGCGACGTCTATCAGATCAGATGGCGGTTCTGGTACCGGAGCTTTCCCGTGCAAACATGACAAAACCTTCTGATGCAGTAGAGGAAAAGAAGGTTCCATACCAGAAATTCATGTAAACAATCACAATGACCGCGCCAGTATAGCAGCATTGCCCTTGGCTTGGGAAGTGCGGAGTACAACCCAAAAGGACAGCGCAGCGAGGGCTTCCTGCTCGAGCTGAATTTTGAGATCCTCCACTTCTGCTTTGAGGCCGCCTAAGTTGGAATTCAGCGCCGCACTCAAAGTTTACTTGTTTGGGTGGCTAGGGTTCCAGAACAGGGCTCTTGGTGGCCTTGCATAATGAAATTCTTCCTGTCACCAAATATGTCCACGTCGCACATTCATCCATCCTCACATTCCTCACATCTGGTACTACATTGGCTATCCCCAATATATCCCCCATAACCCCTATATAACCCCTGTAATCCCTGTAGTTTCCATTTTCTTTTCCATTATCCCCAATATATCCCCTATAACCCTCATATAACCCCTATGAGACGAGGGTAACAGGACAATATAGTAACTTAATTTAAGTTCCTTAATCCCTATATTCCCCCAGTTCCCATTTCATTTTCCATGTTCTTTTCCATTTGATTCTCCTTTATAGGGGGATAATATAGTATATACTACAGTAGTTTCCATTTTCTTTTCCATTATCCCTATATAACCCCAATATAACCCTAATATATACCCCAATATATAAGGGAGGACTAGACCACAGCTCAGCGGCTGCTGCTTCCAAGCAGATGGGAAGACTCCTGCTGCTTGTCTTTTAGGTCCTCTTGCAAGCCTGAGCTGAAAGCTTTGGGTTTGGGCATATAATTAGGGTGTAGGGTTTGGGTCGAGGATGTGGGCTCATGATAGCTCAAAGTGCTGAAGTTTATAGTTGTTTCCATTTTCTTTTCCATTATCCCCATACAACCCTAATATATACCCTATTGGCCCTCTTATATTATAAGATTGTCTATTGTCTTTTCCATATGTTCCATTAACCCCATATAACTTGGTCCAGCAACTGGAGACCTTGATGCTGAGCTCGACATTCTCCTTCCGCACCTGTCGAAGCTGCTCTTCGAGTTCCAGCTCCCGGTCAGCACTTCCAGTCGCAAGGGGAAGCTCTTGCTCGACATCTTTGGCCCGGGTGGCTTCATTGAACTGTTGCTTCAGCTTCTCCATCATCTCTCTCTGATTCAGCATGCTCTTGCGACCGTCCTCATCAGGAAGGATGGATGGCCGCATGCCAGGGTCTGCCGGCTGCGTAGGCTTGGACTCGATCCGTGCAAGCAGCTCACTTCGCAGTTGGTCGAGAGAGCTCGCACGCTCGTTGCCAGCTTGTCGGCTACTTCGCTCCAGCTGTTGCTGCAAAGCCTCCAGCTGATGCCGGCTCTGTTCCAGCTCAGCTTCAGCGGCCATGGCGCGGGAGCGCAATTGCTGCAGCTCGGTCCCAGCCTTGTCTGAGCCCTTCAGCTTGGCAGACATGGCCTCCTCCCGCAGCTTCAAGGTGTCCAGGTCTCCCTCCAGTCGGATCTTTTCAACTTTGAGATCCCTCAGCTCGTTGCGGAGGGAGGCTTCAGCAGCAGCCCTTTGCTCCAATGCTTGGTTTTGGGCGGTGAGCCTCTGGAGCTGAATCTGAAGATCGTCGTTCGACGATTTTAAAACTTGCAGCTCCACAGTTTGGGCTTCCAGCTTGCTGACCCTCTCTTCCGATGTTGCCAGCTGCGCCTTCTTCTGTTCCAGCTGCGTCTCTGCACTGAGTTTGGCCCTACGCATGGAAGAGCACTCTTCTCGCAGCTGGGCGACCTCCTCGGCGATGGACGTAAATTCCTCAGCGCTTTTGCAAGTCGTCATCTCCACCTCCAGACGGACTTTCTCGCGCCGAACGTCTTGCAGTTCTGCCCTGAGGGCTTCGTAGTCTGCAGAGCTAACTTCAAGTCCCGTCTCAGAGGACTTTGTGTCGAGTTGCCCTTGCAGTCGTGCGTTCTCCTTCCTGGACTCGAAAAGCTCCTTGCGAAGCTGCTCCAGCTGTCCAGACTCCGATTCTCGAACCTTTGCCTGCTCATTGCTTTGAGCTTGTGCGATCCGTTGTCTCTCTTCTTCCAGTCTCTGTGTGGCATCACGTTCGGCACGCTCCCTTTCTTCTGCAAGCTGCTTCTGCATGTCCTCTAAGGCCTTAGCCTTCTCCTGTGCTGCCTTCTTGGCCTCATCAAATGCCTGCTTCTTCTCCTCGTCCTCCCTCATCTTCTGAATCCGGTCGGCCGCAAGTTTTCCCTTCAGCTTGCCAATCTTGCGTCGGCACGACCACCCTCGCCAGATGGTCCTTGGTGCGCTGGTTTGGTTGGACTGCCTCTTACTCAAACTAAGCGGCGCAGATTGACGTACACGTTTCTCAAGCAAGGCGCTGTATCCGCAAAGCGTGCGACCGCCGCCTCAAGAAGGCGGAGCGTTGAGCCAGCATCCGCAGGCAGCATTGCAAAGTGACCTGGTGCACATTCTCTTTGGCATGGTAGCGCTGTGTGCAACTGAATGGAAGCAAGTTGAAATTGCTGAAATGCCTTCCTGGGTCTCAGCACTTGACCCTCAACACGGGCTGCCGGGCATTTCCGGCGAAGTACAAGAAACGCTTCCGTCTGGTCAAGCTTCTCGAAACTGGGGTTAGTAGGGTCCCGTTTTTTCTCCCAGTTGAAATTGCAGCTAAGTTTCGCTGGCTTTCGACTTCTGTAGCTCTGCCAGAAACAGGGATCGCAGTCGCAATGTTCGGAGCATTGCTTGCATTTGCAGCGTGGCGGCCTTCATTTGTCCTTAACATCCAGCACGCCGAAGAGCAGCGCATGCATTTCTTGCGAAGTCATGAAATTGCAGCAAAGACGCGGAAGCGGCGCTTTGCACGGAAGCCACGCCACCTCTTTTGTATGCGCAGGACGAACACCTGACACAGCTGCGCTGCCCCAAAGTCAAAGATCAGACTATAGTAGTTTCCATTTTCTTTCCCATTATCACCCAATATAACCCTAAACCCTAAACCCTAAACCTATGGTAGCTTCCATTTTCTTTTCCATTATCCCAATAGGTCTTGCAAGGTGCAGTCATTCGCGGCTTGCCAGCCTTCACAGCTTCGCCTATGGCCTTCTCCAGCCTTCCCTGTAGCTCCTCTTTCCTTAGGGCAGACTCAACTGCAAGAATTCTGAACCCTACAAAGCTGGTCCATGCTGCTTGCAGTCCAGGGACAGGAAGACTTTGCTTCTTCCCACTTGCCATGACTTTGCTTCCTTGGAGATCAACCATCCATGTCGGATGCATGTATGCATGTATGTATGCCTGTCTGTATGTATGCATGCATGTATGTATGTGAGTATGTACCTGTGTATGTACCAACAAGAAGCTCTGAATCTAAATTCTAGAAGGAGCAAGTCCTGCTTGTGAGGAAGCCACAATGTTGGCACACCCTGTTTTGATCTTGGCCACTCTAAACTTTGCCTGCTCCGAGGGGCAAGGGGCTGCTTCTGCGCCTCAAACTTGGCCTGGCATGAAGTCAATGAAGACATTGCAGGGGTTCTGGCAGACCCAAGACAAGGTGTGTTCGGGGATCGAGGAAAGTAAAAACAATCTCTGCGGTGCAGCTACTGACTGTGATGCCTGAAGGTATCAAAAATACACATATGAGTCTGAGTGGTTTAGGGACTATAGCCTAAAACTTGGTTCAACGCGAAATTGGCACTCCCATATGAGCTACGTCTAAACTCCTAGTGTCCCCTTAATAATCCCTATACTACAGTTTCCTATATTTTAAACAACAAATCCCGTTTAAGGGAGTTTAGCCTATAGCTCATATGTGATCAATGGCTCTGTCCTCCACATCCATGAGGATCTTTCGGCTCAACTCCTGAAAGTTTGTCAGGAAAGCTCTGTGAACAAGCAAGTATCTAATGCACATGCATATAACATATATACATATATATATATGTGTGTGTACACATATATATATATACATATGTACATAGATACATGTCTCTATATATATATACACATATATATATATATATACATTCCCCAAGGTAAGGGGCACTTGTAAGGATCCGCATAGCATGGATTGTCGTATTTTGGGGTCTATGTATTGGGGTCCCCCTATTTAAGACAACTACCGTTTTGAATATGTATATATACACAAAGGAATTCGGTAACCCCAACCCCTCCAATTAGGATGCTACTGTGGTCATGTGATAGCAGTAGGGTCCTAATTTTAGGGGTGGGGGTTACAAGAATGACCTTGATAGAATAAGCCATATGCAGTAGGCATTTGTAGTAGGGCTGAGAATGAGTCACCACGAAAACTGGTTTGCTACCAGCCCTCGCTTCCCGAATCTTCCCCAGCCAACTTTATAAAAACATCAAATCCCCAATCCCAAACTCGAATCCCTGAACCCTGAACCATGACCCTGAGCCCCTCAGCCCTGCGGATGATCTAGTAGGTTGGATGTCCTCCCTGGTTCCCTACGAGAGGTCACAATAAAATGTATTCCAACGTACGAATAATACGAATAACCCTAAAAATCTTTTGCAGTCCTTGTAGTCCGGGTCTAGGCTTCTGCCCGTGGAAATGTGCGGGCATAGAATGCGGAACCTGCAGAGGACCATGCATCCTAGCCTAGCGTTTAGGGTATATACGGGTAATATAGGGGTTATCTAGGGATAATGGAAAACAAAGCGGAAACTACTACATTATTGAATGTTCAACTTACATATGTTCGCACATTCAGCTAGTTTGCAAAGAACGTGTCGAATCCTTTCGTATCAAATCCCGTCATACAGGTTTGTGCTTTCCTGGCCTGTTGAAGAACTCTTTGAATGGCCGCCTGACCGAGTACCCAGCCTCAGCTTATCGGAAAATGCTTGTCTACCCAGGCTCAATGCTAAGAGTACCTCAAACTTGACTTTAATATGCAGGGCATCTAGGGGCCACTCGCGCACCCTACCCCTGCCAGCTTTCATTCAAGTGGCGCGGCGGATGCGGATAGACTCAAGCATGCCAGCGCAGCGTAGCTGTCGCTGCACATCAAGAGAGTCCATCTCATGAGCCTCTCAAGATTTGTAGAATCTGCCTCTTGCAGTACCCGTGATGCACCTGTCCACAATACAGCCTGCTTGTTTCCATTCGGCTTAATGCAGCGGATGTAGCGGGGGTTTGTTCCTGGATGCAAGCGGAACGCTTCTGCAGCTGATGCACGGCTGTCAGCCTCACTTGAGCCAAGGTGCGATTCAAATCCTCCACCAGCTGATCAAGCTGCTGCCGAAACATCATGCTGACCGTGACGTTCTGCCTGGGCGTCTCAAGCCACGAATACATCCCGCCCCCGCCTTTTTTGCTACTGAAACCTCAACCCTCATCCTCAAAACCCGAACGCCTCAACGCTTGTTGCTTTGCTTTGAGGCCGTGGCTTGTGAATCTGCAGGAAAACACGCCAACCTCAACCCTCACAGCTCTGCACCCTCGATCCTGAGCTCCTTGCTTTGCCCTCTGATTCGATTCCGGCCCACGCTTCGGTGGGGAGGGAGCTGCCCGTGCCACTTGGCCCTCAGGGACTTACTAGGTAGATCTGATGCCTAGCCCCTCACAGCAGGGTGGGTGTAGGATCAAGGTTTGGGGCTAGCTAGGTAGGTGGGTAGACAGGGCCGCCATTGGGTGGAAGGTTGGTGGAATACTGTAGCATAAGATTTGTTTGCAAGCATGCGATGGAGCAGGCATGCAACTGCATGGGACGTGCAGCTGGGCTGAGAAAGGTGCAGCTCTGGCTGAGTCTCAATCATGGGTTTTGCCGACGCCCATGGTCCGCGGAAAGCCTGCCCTTTCCGGCCTGCATGTCTGGCGTGAAGCGCGGATCGGAGAAAAGCCTCACAACCCAGCACACCGTACCCGGAGGTCCAGGTAAACACCACGCGTTTGACGATTTGCGAAGAACTGGCAGCCATCATGAAAATTTGTAGGTTGCAAGGAAGTCCCTCGCACAGTCAGGAGCATTCCTGAACCAAAAAGGTACTTCCCACTAGGCGAAAAATGACATGTTCTTGCCACGAGGCGTTTTGCACATAGCCATGGAGGACGACTTTAGAAGAGTGATGATGTCCTCAGAAAGTTATACCAGGGCTTCACAAAGCGGAGGGCCTTCAGGGGTTCTAAGAAAATGGGCATTATAAACGGATTGTGTTGTCTCTATTGAGGCTTCGAAAGATGGATTGCTTAATTCGCGCATAATATCAAACAATGAACCATCCTCGGGCGGGCCCGCAAGCACCGAAACGCAGAGGGGATGCTGCAAAATCTCGGCCTTTGTAGGGTGTCCTTCTGATTGGAATTCTGCAGGTTTGGATTCTGCAAGTCTAGGGTAGGTAAGGGTGTCCTGCCATGAAGACATTGACATCTTCTGGTATATAAAAGCTTGAAGAAATACCCACAGCGGGAAAGAGTGTTTGCCCAGGGTCTGCATGCAGCTTGTCGGTGTTCTTCCTTGCACACAACATGCCAGCTGAGGGTACTGAAAAAGGCTACTGCAGGCATTTGTACGCCGTGACTGTAGCTGCGCATCGCTTGCATGAAAACTGCACCCGCCAATGCAGCCTAGGCTCTCCAGGAAGGAGAGCACCTCAGTGAAGTCACAAGCTCTGCAAGAAGCTGATCTCTCGTAGCGCGGAAAGACATTCCCTTGTCTTGCTCAAAAGTGAGGCAGGCACATCGTAGACAACCTCCCCGGCATAGTGCGCCACAGCGAAGTTGGTGGATGCAAACCGTGATGGCTTGTAGACCTCGCTCAAGCTCATGGGCCTGACCACCTCCCTGTGAGACCCTGTCAGGTCAAGTCAGCCACTGAGCTACTGAGCTCTGTACCACCTTGGAGTTCTTGAAGGTGTTGTAAATCTTGCCTTGGGACTCCGGGCAGGATGCTTTACGTCTGCATGGTAGAGCCTTGTCATAGGAGACTACCAACTCGTGCACTCTGAGCTGCTGAGGCAGGTTTGGTCCGTGGAGCTTGGCATGAGGCATTCCGAGTCCAGAATGCAGAATACCCCCAGCCTCATGAGCTCAGCAAGATCAGCAGGAAGGGCCGTGAAAAGCAGGCTTCCCACAGGAATCTCAAATAGCAGAACGATTTAGACGGATGAATCTGCGATTGGTTGCAGCATGTTAGTGTCAACTCCACCCGAGCATGCCCGAAGTGAAGCGTAATAATTCCCTACATATCCTTGAACTGCATGCACCCAGGCAGGCTGAGAGACTGCATCGCAAGTACCAAAACTCGCAGGGCCGGCGCCGTGACAGCTACAGCTTTCTGAGAGGGACCGCAGACGTGTGAGACGCTTTTTCACGCCGAGTCCTGGAGTTTCAAGCTTGAAGGGAAGACACCACGAAGCAAAGACTTCAAATGACCATATTGCGACAGCCAAAACGCGAAGAATACCATAATCGTGAAGGAACCACAATGTTGCCAAACAACCTCAAGGGGCCAAACCTTGACAGCCAAGTCCTTGAAAGGACTGCCCCGTGACAGAGAAAGGGACTACACCGTGACAGCCACCAACTCACACGACAGCAAGCCTCGAAGGGACCACCCAGTGACAGTCAAAACCTCAAATGAATACGCCATGATATCGCGACAGCACAGCTGAAGGCACCACAACGTGACTGCAAACCAGAAACTGAAGGGCCCTTGCAGAATCCTCTTGAAACACGCGCATGTGGGAGAAGTCGTGGAGGAATGCTTACTCATGCTTGCAGGCACAGTGTAGCAAGCCTAAGCTGCGTACGGCCTCTTCTCCAAGTTGTCGATGATCTCTTGATTGTCTTGCCTCTCAAGCTTCGGATAGTTTAGGAGGGCTCTTGGCTGCACTTCTGTCGCGGAGGCTGTAGCTGCCGTTGCAGATGCACTGCTATGCGTGACAGCCACTCCAAATTCCCTCTCATCCTCCTTGCTCTGCACTCAGCAACATCACCCCAAGAGTTGCCAACGCCCCCAAGTGGGCCACTAAGACATATGGACAGCCGAGTTGCCACTGGATGTGGCTCCACGAGATCCCCTCCTCTGAGTAAAGTCTCTGCTCCATTGTGAACCTTCGCAGGGTTGGGACTGCCTGCAGATACTGCTCGATTTATCCAGTAAAAAACTACCTGCACCGAAGTCATGAAGAAACCAAGCGTCATATGCGAGTTGAAGTGCTGCTGCAGCTTCTCGTTTGCAAAGTTGATGCACAATTGCCTGGGTCAGAGTGATTTCTTGGCTTTACTCTCGGAATGCACTCAGCTTCATGGCTTCTCAGGGACTCAAAGGAATTCCACTCAAAGACCTCGAAGCCATAGATGTCCAGAATCCCGATCTTCTTGGTTGCGTCCTCAAAGCACAGTGGCCCAGTCGCTGACACTTTGCCACATTACTTGGAAGATGACCGGAACCCTAGGAGGATCTGAAAACCGGATCCCCGGAAGGAATCCAGAATAACCCTCCTAAACCCAAAACTCCTAACTGTTTAAGCCCTGAACTCTGAACACCTAAACTCTGGAAAGCCTGAAGCCTGAACCCGTTTCCAACCCAAACGATGCCAAAATCCTAAAACCTGAACCCTATGATCCGTCCTTCCTTGGGCCACCTCCTTTACCTGCAGTGCTCTGATTGATGCGCCACACCAGCCAGTCAAAGAGCCGAGAGTACCTCAAGTGATACCCTCCCGGAACAAAAAAGCCAAGATTATGTTTTAGGGCTTAGCGAATATCTATTTGATAGTATTAGGGGGGCGGAGATGTTTTATATCAGGTGGAGGGACGGGGTTGGACAAAAATGGCTGTGCGCACGCGGATAAGGCAGTCACACCCGATGTGGGCAACTTTGCATGCTCTGAGTTCAAATGAAGGTTACCTTTGGGTTTGAAAGGTTCTTGGAAGAGGACTTAGACTTGGTAAGTAGGTCAATGAGGAGGGGGTCATAGGCATACTTACTAAGACTTGTTAAGCCGCGATCTGTACCAGTATGGACCCTGCAGGACTCACATTTCCTGAAGGATCCAGAAAAAGGAACTCCCCCAAACATGAACCGTTACTACATTGGGGAAACTAGGGGATTATTGGGAGGTTCCAGGCTTGGGATTTTTTAGGGGGTCTGGGTGTGGATCATGGAGTAGGCGTCTGATCCGAGTTGCAGATGTTTTGCCATGGCATGCCGGGTGTTGGAGGAGCTGGAAGGATCCTGGAACAGGGGTATATAGGGATAATGGCAAAGAAAACGGAAACTCATAGGCCAGCCGTTGTTCAGGGTAAAGGGTTAAGGATTTGAGTTTAGAGCTCGGGGTCAAGGATTTCGGTTTGTATAAGGTCTAGAGCGACTTGCAGCTTTTGGAGTTTAAAGGGTCAACTTGAATCTTGGCAGGTTCCCCAGATTCTCTCCATGACCACGAGTACGAGCATGGTTCTGGTTAGTTCTCCGACGGTTACGGTTGTTTTTACCACCCTGCCTTCCCCTAAGCCCCGTCTCATTGTCCAGACTTCTGCTCTCTAACAACAGAAAAAATAGTAGTAATAATAACAATACTGATAGTAATGATTCATAATAATTATAGTAAAACCCTAGACAGGGATAGGACGACCAGCTTCTGCTCTGAGGCTGTGGTTTCCCAAGTCCAAGCCTGGGGCATGTTGATGATCTTTTTGCTGAACGGATCCTCCATGGTCCGGTACCTGAATATAAACCAGTGCTGGTGACAGTGAGCCTGTGAACACATCAATGACTTTTGCTTTGCAGCAAAAAGCTTGCGACAAGTGTAACGCAGCAGCGATTAATTACGACTGTAAACATTAGAGTCACTATCTTGCTACTTCAAGGGCAGGTATTGCGTTACAAACAGCAGCAATCATAGCACAACGCCCAAGGGGCTGGAATGTGTTGGTGAAGTCTTCCTTTGAGACTTGCAGCAGTTCGCATAGCTTGGCCATGAGTGCCGCATCGCATATGCGACTGCCATCATCTCCTTCCTCGTGGGTCAGGCTGCTTCGTCAACCAGAGGATTGCAATCACGATTTCTGAATCCTTCAAGCCATCCAGGGTATCCCACATGTTCCTGCTACCGTTGCTGGCACTGCGAGGAGTTTATTTATCCTACCTACGATTTTGCCAGTACTACTGTTGCTTCTTATCCCGGAGCGCAAGACCAATTAGCGAACGGGCTCCTCAAACTGCATGTCGCCAAGGTGTAGTACCTTGATCACGAGTTTGTGCACAATGGTCTGGCTCAATGACGAACACAACCATGAGTATCCAGCAATACTTGCTGGATAGCAAGAAGAAAAACCATGACCGAAGTAGCGCGATGACAGTAAGACCAGCGACAGGGATAGTACAAGTAGAGCTCATGGTAAGCAATAATAACTGAGTACAAGTCTTCAGGCACCAGAAGCAAATTTTGCAATAGGCACTAGCCTGATAGGGGAAGATGAGGACCTTCTTGCGGCTGAGGCGCTGCCGCAACAATCTGAAATACCGAATTCTTCTCTTCAGTGCTGAAGCCCAGTCCATCCATGCACTCTACGGCTTCCTGCTACAACACACTCACATGCTGTGGCCGCTGAATTTGCACTGCAGGAATCCTGGAACTGCTCTGTGTCATCGACACCAGGGATGTCCGTGCATACCTTTGATGACGGCACCAAGTGAAGAGAGCCAGCAGGCCAGATGTTCATGCATCCGGAAGGTTGCACAACCCTTGGGGCGTACGTTGGAGCAACATGTGGGTGGTTGTGCAAATTATGTTTTTTTTTGGGGTACCCTAAACATAGGTGCCGTATTATGATCGGGATCCAAAAGGGACCATGATTTTGACAACCACCCATGTGCAACTATGCGTCCATGCGGCTGTTGTGTAGGCATGGGCACGTGCAGATCGCAGTCCCAGCGTGGGCCCAATGCCAGGCAAGGAGCCGGCCCCAGCGCACAGCTGGTAAAATGCCTGCAGACAGAACGGAGCAGAACAGGGGAACAAAGAATCATCAATCTATATATCGGTAATTGATTACCCCCAAACCCTAAACCCTAAATAGTGGTTTGCATTTTCTTTTCCATTATCCCATTATAACCCCAATATAAACCCTGAACCCTGACCCCTATGGTGCTTGGGGCCGCTGCATGATAGCCCCGCTCGTCTGGCTGCTGCTTTACCTCGAGCAGCGGAGAGAAGGTCCAAGAGGATATGGGGACATGTGGGATTACAAGGTTATACAGGGATTATAGGAGAGGCCCAAGAGGAAAAAGGGATATCCGGGGTTGCAGGGTTATACAGGGATTATGGGGGGATGGGAAAAAATGGAAACTACTAGATGTCACGCCCACTGTCCAATGCCTCTGCTTCGATTCAACTATCCATGCCCAGGCACGATGCGGCTTTTTTCCAATAGGTAATTTGATATCCGGGCGCTTTGTAGCTTCCCAGAGGAATCAAACCTCAAGATCATCAGACACCACAACATCTGATTTCGAAGCTTCTCGCTGCTTTTTTCATCTTTAGGTCCTGGTAGATCACGCAGAAGGCCTTCTCAGCCGAGGCGCTCAATGTCGATGAACTTCCCGAAGCGAGAGGAATTGTCATTACGAATGGTCTTCGCCTACAGCAAACACATGCAACCTCTGGAGGACTGACGGCCATCACTAGCAAGCAATGAAATCTGCAGCCTGCTCGAGACAGGCAGCACTCCAAAACAAAAAACTACTTCGCAACGTATTGAAACTGAACTGACACTGCTACAAAAAAGTAGCAGCAACAATGGACCCAAACCAGGTCTTGACAAGAACGTTTATAAGCCAGTACCTGACCAGCTAATCCCGAACCAAAATTGAGCCATGGGCATTGCCAAAAGCTTCGAGGATGGGATTGGATCTGAGAACTTGCTCTTCGATGCTCATCTTTTCATGCACGCCAGAACCTTTACAGGGTCACAGGGATGGGATAGGTTTGGGCAGCCGCAGATATACGAAACAGCTGGGACGCCTATGCTATTTTAAGGCGTGAAACACCCACATGATGTGCTTGCTTGGGCCAAGCCGCTGGAACGCTGGAGATTTGCGAAATACCTTGGAAGTTAAGCGGAACGAGTAAGGGAGCTGCAGGGGGTTCACATGGGGACATGGCAGAGGAGGGCTGCCCTTGGTGATGTCAGGGATAAGAGGGGTGTCCTGGAAGGATGCCATTTGTGTTGATTTGGGAAACTCTTGAATCCATGGCCAATGCATACAGGCTGCGTCAGAATACGCTTCGTAGCTTCTGTCTTGCCGGCCCCGCTCTCTCCAGAGATGATGATGGACCTGAACGAACAACTCACAAGGGTCTTGTCTCTGCTTGGTTGGGAATGTGGAGGAGAGAATGCGTGCTATAAACTCGGAAGACTGTTGGGATCTACTCCTTGATTCCCTCGGAACAGGAAACAGGGGGCCAGATTGGCAATCATTTCTTTTCAAGCAGGCCCCTAAATGTTCCCTATAATCCCCATAATATCACCCCTATATATTCCCTATAGTTTCCATGTTCTTTTCCATTGTCCCTCTCTAGCCGAAATATAAAGACACGGTGCAGCTGAGGGGCTGGTTCCGTGCATCGCTGAGCATTGTCGTGTAAGCAGCGGCCGCCACGGAGAAAAGATGCGGCGGAAGTTCCGACTCGTCGCCCGAAGCACCTGGTGAGGGCCAGCGGCCTGAAAACAGCTTCCCGATTTGCCGCGCTCGTGATTTGCGCCAATATAGGTCTTGGCTACTGCAGCAAATAATCGAAGTTCGGGGTGGGGCGGGGAGGTGTTGAATAGTTATCGGGTAGATAGATGTCCAGCATCACGAGGACTGCGCCTGCAGCGGCGGATCGGTCGCGATAAAACTTCTGCTTCGCTTCAGAGTACAAGCCTGGAAGATTCTGGAACGGATTCACCTCAGTTCTCGGTATCTCACAAAAGCATGAACCAATGGCTGCTACATATGAAGCGTTTATGCAACAGAGGCTCTGAGATCAGGATTGGACCTTTGCAGTGCAGAAGGTGTTGGGATGCTCTTCTAGCCCTATGCGGTTTGCTTTGCTGCTGTAAGGGCCGCGCTTCCAATACCCGTGTAGATCAGATCGTCGAAGTATCTTTGCCGCACGTTGTGCAGAAGCGCGCCCTCATTGAAGTCACCCAGCGATAGCCTCAGCTGTGCTGATTAAAGGCGTCGGTCTGATCAGTCTGGCGGGAGTTCTGGATACCTGAGGGACCTGGGGATGTGCGGGGTGTTTGAACGGAGACTACCAGGGTCTCCTTGCAATGGCTTTGTAGGGAACATGCCCACAAGATCCCATCTTGGATTGTTGAACCAAACTTGTTGTTTTCGCTAAGTGGTGCTGCTGGCTTTGTAAACGCCACTTTTATCAACTTGAAGCCCAGGAGCAGGTCCTCGACCCCTTTCAGGCAGTTTGGATCCACAGGTCTAGCTTTGTCTTGTGGCACTTCGAACTTGTCGCCCTGGGCAATGCCAACGCTACAGGAGCATGCAGCAATGAAAACAGCGGTTTTCGCCGGCCTGCTCATCAACGACAATGTAGTTGCCTTGGACGACGCAAGTTGGGTGGTGCCTTCTCATGCTCCACAAAGCTTGCCACTAGATCCAAATATCTCAAGTCTTGGGACCAAGTATGAGCAAGCATTGATATGCAGATACAAGCTCTCTGACTGTTCTTGCTAGTTATAGCAGCACTCATAAGTTGTATTTCAGGTCACTCCTATGGCACATGGGAACATTGCAACTCGTAATATGATGTGTTGCTTGAACCGTCTAGTCGATTGTCGCACCGCTCTGCCCCAAAGTCTTGTTTGGTTGCTACTTCAACCTACTGGATCAGACTTTGTCATGCGGGGCATCTGTGACATCACCTCAGTCACTTATCCGGCTTGGGTATTTCTCAGAAGGAAGGTCCAACCTTTTCGTGGCCAGAAGACACTGGTCTTTAGGAGGCCGTACTTTTGACTTGCCGGGCGTCCGTTGGCTGCGACAGAATCAACACGGCCAGGAGCCCACCCCTGCACACAGATCTCTGGGGATTTGGGCTTCTGCAACTCTGATCATGCGAACTAAGTGCATGAATGATGAATGCCATAATTTCTGGTACCCAACTGTCAGAGACTCCAGCTCAAGTCTGAGAAGTCTTTCTCACAGATACCGATTGGAGACTAGTTGCACCAGCTGTCTAGCCACAAGCCACCCGGCGGGTCCCAAGAGCAGTGGTGCAAGAGGATTCCTTACAATGCTTCGGAAAAGGCACGTGGAGGATCCTGCATGAATCTCATAGCGCATCCTGATGCTTGAGGGATCCCGACATGAACCCTCAAGCAGATAGAATCCAAAAACTGAGAAGCCCACCCACACAAGGACAGCTGCAGGGGCTTATGTAAGGGCTTATGTAGGGGGAGGGAGAGAGAGAGAGAGAGAGCGAGAGAGAGAGAGAAAAACATATATATATATATACATATATGTACGGATTTATCTATTTCTATGGGTATAGTTCTATTCACGTCGCCCAATGGGTTCCCTGATGATGATGAAGATGATGACCACGATGATGATAATGATCATGATGACCAGTATGATGGTATGATGATAATGATGATGATGATCATCATCATCATCATCGTCATCATCATGAACAAGCAGACGGTCACCAGAGCATCCATGCTCAACCATAATGACACTCGTGTTCCCTGAGCAGACGGTCACCAGAGCATCCATGCCTAAACCACAATAACCTTCGTGTTCCAACAGAGCATCCATGCCGAAACCCTAGTAACGTTCATGTTCCAAGCGCATACGGTCACGGGAAACATGGGGACATGGATGAAACTATACCTATCTATCTATCTAATTATCTATATATGTGTGTACGCGTATGTATATATATATATATGCATGCATAGTGCTTAGCTGGGCCCTTCTTTCGGAGTCCCTGGAGCCTGCCTCCCTGGGATGATCTTCGATCCACACTCTTCCGCTCGCCTGCCCGCCGCCTGCACTTAACATCTCCATGGCGGCAAGAGGCCTGAAGCTGCAGCTGAATACCCGAGAAGTCAAACACCGCACTCAACACAAGTACTGCTAGCAATGGCTCGTGGAGCTGTAATTGGGTTGCTTTTTCGGAGTCAAGTCGGGTGAGGGAGGGGCTCAAGCGTGACTGCATATTGGGGTTGCTGAAGCTCTATGCGCGGGTGACTCAAGAAATGGCACCTGCTTGGGTCCCCAGAATCATGATCCTGTTGCTGTGGAGTTCTGGGTGGGAGAGACTGCTCTGCTCCACCACCGTGATTTGCCATATGCTAGCATCAACTTCATGGTCTCCACAACCCAGGGCTCAGCCTGGATCCACCTTCCAGTAATACACATGATGCATGGCTTCTCTGGTGCATGTGCATCGAGTCTGGGCCAAGTGGGGGGCACGGCTTCCGGATCCACATGTGGCAGTTTCCTAAAATCACAGGCCGTGCTTTGGGAGTCCAACTGTGGGCGGACGACGTACACTAAGGAAACCTCAGAAGTGAAAGCAACAAAGAACCATGACCTGAGTGCTGCAAGTCTCTGGCTCACAGTCTCTCGCCTCATCTGATCATGTCTACAGTTACAGTCTACATACAGTAGGGAGCAAGTGTATTCCCAAGAGATGAACATCCCGACAGTGGTGCACATGCCCCGAGGAGATCACACTTCACTTTTCCAGCGTTGCGCAGCCGACTCTGCTTCACGTTGTCGCTCAGCCTTCGACCGTTCCTAACCAGGCTTTGCCTGGGGTCTTGTAGGTTTTTTAAATAAATGGGGAGTTGCCCCGTCAACTCCCCTCTCCCACGCTTTTGCCAGATCCGAGCCCCTCGAAACCCCCACACGGAGCATCACAAGAGAAAGTGCGAACCTCAAGGGTCTCGCATGGATAAATCTCTTTTATTTCCGAATCTCATCCCCCAAAGTCTGCCATTTGTACTCTGGCGGTTGCTGCTGGCGTTTCTACTCCTAATCCTACACTACTCCCGTTGTTGCGACAATGTCCGGGGGCAGCTCAGAGAGGTTCTAGCCGGATCTGGCATCCCCCACCGGACAATTCCCAGCTTGAGGTCCCTTTGTCGTGTATGTTGAGGAAAATCTAGAAGGGACTGACCCACACCACGGATTGAATCGTCAAAAGAAGGCGACTAGCAGAATGATTTTGGAGATTCTCATGATGCAAGGCTCATGATGCAAGGTACATTTCCCCAGGTCGGAAGCCCCTTCCGTCCAGGGACCTCAGCACTCAGAAATTGCCACAGAGGACTGGCTCACCTTCATAGCTCGTACGGAGTTTGCATGTTTCTTCCCTCAAGCCACATTCGATGCAACCCTCTGCCCTACGTGCTGCTAAGACATGAGTATTGCGCTGACACGGCAGTGGTCACGTGACAGGGCAACCCTGAAGCAGATTCTTGACGCGGGATCAGAAACACAATTTGCTAATATGGTCTTGCCATGTGCATTGGCCCAAGCAGCACGAGGGCACAGTCCGGGAAACATGACGCTTCTCAAAGGTATTACGCACTCCAAAACCAAAGCCGTAAATAGATGGGGATGAAGGTGCGGACAAGACCTAGAAGTCTTTGTCCTTTGGCATAACGTACAATACATGGAGGTTCATTCCTGGGAATGTCTCTGAACTATGGCTATGCAGTCCATGTTGAATGACCCCTCCTCAGAAGCATGTACGATTCATCTTGCTCTTGTTTTAGGCTCCTAGGCCATCTTAGCACCCCTTTTTTCAGAGAGAAATATCCAGGCCCCAATGTAAAGCGCAGGCCTGCAACACGCGGCAGAAACCTAACACGCTCACCATGCTACAAACGCTTCATAGAAGTAACTTCAATCTTTTCTCCAGTCTGCCTGCAGGGCACGCCCGCATCCGCAAGCTCCCAACACCGGGCCTCAAGCCTCTTTCCAGGATACGCTACTGGTAGATCGTGATTTGGTAAGCCAGTCCCCAAACTTTCACGCGCACTCCTCACTTCGCGCGCTTGCAGGGCACCTCCTGAGGTCCAAAGATGCGCTTGGCCACTTTACACATTCAACAAACTGAAATCTATGGTATTTGAAAGACTCAGAGTGAGCAACTAGGCCCCTATAAGCGGTTTGCATTCGCCTTTTTCCTTAAATGCAAAACTTGTGGTCGCACGTAAGGACCTGACGAGTCAACACACCGCGATGGAGGGACTCATCAACCCCCGTCTGCAGAGCACGGGCCGCACCAACCGCAATTTGATGCCGCATCAGCGTGGTAACAAACTGTGACTTAATGCGGGCCTACTTCCGGCCCGAGCTGCTTGTTTCGTGGCCTTAGGGTCTTAGGGAGTCGTTCATTGGCTTCGTGGTGACCTTGGTTGTTGGCACAGCTTCATAAGTATCATCTAAGAAATCGTAGCAGCAGGCCTGCATCGGCCTACCGCAGAAGAGTGTTTCGTGCCGATTACAACTTGCAACCGGCTGGATTGTATTATCAGTGTATGTTGACCGCCGCCAGCAAAACCGACCATATACCGCAACTGAGCGTCCTTACCCAAACGATCCGTCTCACGAACAAAACGGGCTTTTACGGGAGCATGTTGCGGCGACAGCTGCCATCTTTTGGAAGCACGAAGAAACACACGCGCGCTCAATCTCTGAACACACTTCCACACATGTGAGGACGTCACCCAAACTTAAACTGGCAGGGCCATGCCGAGCCCGGCAGCTCATCAACAGAGTTAAACGAACATGCCGCAGATGTGGAACTGTTTTTCAGGATTCTGCATAGTCGATGTCGTGGCACGAATCAAATCCGTCAACTTCAACTGGCCTGAGCCTTGGAACGATCATCGCGCTAACTCTTGAGGCTCGACAGCTTTCTGAGAGTCAATACACTTCCAACAGTCCTGCTGCCGAGGCATTGGGCGTTTCTCAGCAGTACCCAGGTCGCGACGCATCTCCAGGCTCCTTGCATTCCACATCAAGCTTGTGCTCAGCACGCCGTTGCTTGACAAATGTGTATTTCTCATTATCTGGTACGTTCTGGGATCCTGGCGAGATGCATGAGGGCGGGACAGGGAGACACCGGAGGCCCTACTGCCGGGGCAAAAGAGACGATATGTGAGAGGCATCCAAATAGCAGCATACCAACAGCTACTGGATCTCTCCAGTTAACCCCATAGTTTCCAGTTTCTTTTCCATTATCCCCATATAAACCCCAATACACTGTAGTGTTTTTTTTTTCTTTTCCATTGTCCCCCAAAGGAACTGGCAGCATCTCGCACTATCTCGCGCAACTACCGGACATCGGCAAGTGAGTCCTCGGGGGAGTTTGCAACGCTCCGGCTCCGGCACCCGGCCGTCGATTGGTGCCGCTACCTTTTACTATCCCCAGCGCTCAAACTCAAGTCACGACCTGTAGCTTCATGCAGTAAACATGGAACAGATTCAGAATTGTGCGGTTTGTCAACTGTTGAGCGATAGCGTTGCGTGACTGATCGCGCAAGAGTGATTCTGGTGGCTGGCAGCTGGCCTCTGTGAAGCCTGCCGTTGCGACGGAACCATCTACAGTACCA